TGAACTTTATTTTCCTCTTTTACTCACGTGAAACTTTATAAACATTTATCACAGATTCTGATCTACAAAATAAAATCATTTTTCTACAAAATAAAAGTATTTTTCTTTATAAAAAATACTTAAAATTTTGTCGTTTTTCTGTTTCTGCGCCAAAGTCGTGACTTCAGTTACACCGCGGGATGAAAGCGCCACCGTGTGGACAAAAACTGAAACTACAAAACAAAATTGAACTAGAACTAAACCAGGTCTGAACTAGAACTAAACCAGGTCTAAACCAGATCTAAACCAGGACTAAACTAATCTAAACAAACACTAAACCAGGTCTAAAAACTAAACCAGGAACTAGAGACTAAATCAAGAATCAAACCAGGTCTAAAACATGGACTAAACAGGATTAAACCTTTTTGGCCTAACCAGGTCCTAAACCAGACTGAATCCATGAAATAAACCAGGACTGAACCAACTAACCAGGACTAAACCAGGTCTAAACCAGATCTAAACCAGGACTAAACTAAGTCTAAACCAGGACTAAACTAGAACTAATCCAGGACTAAACCAGGTCTACACCAGGTCTAAACCAGGACTAAACTAGAACTAAACCAGGTCTAAACCAGGACTAAACCAGGAACTAGAGACTAAATCAAGAATCAAACCAGGTCTAAAACATGGACTAAAACAGGATTAAACCTTTTTGGCCTAGACCAGGTCCTAAACCAGACTGAATCCATGAAATAAACCAGGACTGAACCAGGACTAAACCAGGACTAAACCAGGTCTAAACCAGGACTAAACCAGGACTAAACCAGGTCTAAACCAGTCTAAACCAGGACTAAACCAGGACTAAACCAGTCTAAACCAGGTCTAAACCAGGACTAAACCAGGACTAAACCAGGTCTAAACCAGGTCTAAACCAGGACTGAACCAGGACTGAACCAGGTCTAAACCAGACTAAACCAGGACTAAACCAGGACTAAACCACTAAACCAGGTCTAAACCAGGACTAAACCAGGACTAAACCAGGTCTAAACCAGGTCTAAACCAGGTCTAAACCAGGACTGAACCAGGACTGAACCAGGACTAAACCAGGACTAAACCAGGACTAAACCCGGATGTGTGTGTCTGTGTGTTTGCACAGGGAGTGAATATTAACACTGTGTTGGTTAAAGTGTAACTCTCTCTCTCTCTCTCTCTCTCTCTCTCTCTCTCTCTCTCTCTGCTCTCTCTCTCTCTCTCTCTCTCTCTCTCTCTCTCTCTCTCTCTCTCTCTCTCTCTCTCTCTCTCTCTCTCTCTGCTTCACTTTTCTTTTGGCTTTTGAGGTTGTTTTTTTTATCTCCAAAAGTCAAATCCACAGATATTTTTCCCTGATCATTTCACATGTGTCCATATAAAAAATAAAAAATAAAACACCTGCATAAAAACAGACGAGACACAGACGGAGCAGCATTATTACATTTTCAGTGCAGTTTGGTTTGAAACGTACAATCATTTTTGTTTTCTTTTACTTTTAAATTTGTTTCTGTTCGTTTCCAGTTTTAAATCAGCAGGTTTCAGTTCCACAGTCTGTCCGCTTCAGCAGAGAAAGAGACCGACCCAGAGTTTGTCACGTGCACTGAGACGACACAAACACGCATCACGAATCTCGGACTTCCGGTCATCGCGCAATCCATACTGGGAAGGATCCTCTGAAAAAGTGAGCATGTTTGTTTTCCCAGTGGGATGCGTCTATAGGCGAGTTTCAGCTGACGTCATTGTTATTAAAAGCCCGCGTTGCATGCTGGGAAATATTTCGATCGGAGGCAAGAAACACGGTAGCGTCAAACACAGTGCGTAACCTCGCGTATTTATCCCCGATAATGGTAAATTCCTGCTGCATTATCGGACGCACAAATAGAAGCACGGAAGAAGGAAAATGTCTTTTTCATATTCCGAGCGAATTAAACGGCTTTCAAACATCCGCAGAGCAAACGTAGAAGATCCTAACAAACCGTGGACTCCAACAAGTTCAACAACACATCGAGACTCTTGGAGGTTTTCATCTTTTCTGCTGTGAATGGCCCAGGAGTTTCCACCAAGTCATTGTGGATATCGCCCAAGTGAATATTTGTCCAGGTAGTTGGAGATTCTGACCAGAAATTTGGTTTGTTCCACCTTTTGTCGGGGTTGAAAAGGGTGATTTGTCGTCCGTCGATGTTTATGACCAATTTCTGGTCAAATGGTCTTGGGTCCTCTGCCGTTACAGTGGATAAATAACCGGGATCAATACCCTTTACGTGCTTTCTCTCCCCGTCCGTCATGTTGAATTAGTGTTTCTTGCCGCCGACCAAAATAATTCCCAGCATGCAACGCGCGCTTTTGTCAACAATGAAACTCGCCTATTGTCAAAGTCGATCTTTTCAAGTCTTTTGAACCATATCACTTTTGCTTCTGGTTCTGATATTGTCATATTTTAGTTTTGGGATTCGGACTTTCCCTACACACACAACTTTGAACATATTTGTTTACGTTTTACAGAAATTAAACTTAAAACCACATGACTCATTTGCATTCCTTATATTAATAGATAAATATTTGAATAAACATGTTGTAACGTAATCTACTGGCTTTTTAAAAACATCGCCAGGATTGAGAAACACGTTCAGTTAAATCTTTGGTAAAACATAGAACAGAGTTTTCATCTCACATAAAAATGAAAATCATCAATGATCGACTAAAACCTCGACTACGACAAGAACAGAAAACACAGAACCTGAGACTCCATTTACACTGAAACAAATCTGTGCATCACCGTATCACTGCATCAGAAGCACATTTATTTACATTTTACAGAAACAAAACTTAAAACCACATGACTCATTTGCATAAACTAAGTGTTGATAAAAACAGCTCTTTCCTCGTGCCCTGATGTGGTTCAGTTTGTGTCGGACTAAAGGACACAGTGACTCAGTGGAATATGAGTGTTCTTTCTGTGACAGAGGGGTGTTCTGCTGATGGTGAGTCTGTTCTGTGTTTCTGTCGTGTTGTTGGTTCATGTGAAACTTTTCAGAGATTATACGTCTGCAGGTCGAACACACAGACACACGTTTATATGAAGGGACAGATATTCTAGACCACAGGTGTCAAACATAAGGCCCGGGGGCCAGATCCAGCCCTCCAAGACCTTTAACCTGGCCCTTGGCTGATTTTCACCTTAAATATTTTGATTAAACTATTGGTAATTTTCTGTGGTGTTTATCACAGCAGCGTCTCCAGCGTCTCTGTACGTGGCCCCTCCCACCAGAGCAGCACAAATGAAGACTTGTCTCTTTCCAAACGCTCTTAAAGGACGATCGTTTTGACTGTTGACCGTGACACCCTCATCAGAAAAATGTCCAACATGAGAAAAGTGGAGCCGAGTGCAGGATTTTACAACAAAAATTTACTTATTCCTATTTGCAAACAAGTTCATGTTAAAACATTGTGTTGAAATTGCATTTTTCTTAAAGTTTCAGGTTGTTCATAATATTATAATATTTTGTAAAAGAAAGAGTTCATCAATTAAAAAAGATTAGAAGAAATATTTGAACTTATTGTTATTTTTGGGGTTTATATGCCATGAGTTTTCTGATCCGGCCCCTTTGGGATCAAAGTAGGTTGGATATGGCCCCCGGACCAAAATGAGTTCTGACACCCCTGTTCTAGACTCTTAGTGTTTTGGGGGTGAATTACTTCGTGGTGCACAGACCTACATCAGAGTATCAGTGTTTTCAGGCGTCCACACGGTCAAGGATCAGATGAATTCGTGGGAGCTGGAGGCACCAGATCGTTTCGTCTCTGGAGCCGTTTTCCATCGGATTAGTGAGAACGAACACTGCATCCACAACAAAAAACACTCCAATATGAACTCGTGTGAACGGGGCCTTGGGCAGTGTAGACAGAACTGATCGTTTACTTGTTGCCGCCGGCGCCAAAAAACAAAGTATTGTTTGTGCATACTCCAAATTAGACGTTCATTCAAGTTACGTTATTTCACGTTTAACATTGTACTGCAGCACGGTTGAGTAAACAAAAAAATAGGCTCATGAATTTTAAGACCTTTGTGAAAAAAATAAGACTTGGACAATATAATTTAAGAGTTTTTAAGGTCTTCATTTTGGAACATGAAATTTAAGACCTTTTTAAGACTTTTCTTACCTCGCGGCTGCTCTGGGTGTGTCCATCAGGTCTGAGTGGAAGTCCAGCTACTGAAGTTTGACACATTTGAAACATTTGTCCCAGCAGTTATACAAAACCACTGATATGTCCCACAAGAAATGTCCCAGGTGTCTCCATTTTTGACCAATCTGATCCCTGCCAACAGTAAAGAGAGACTGTCCCTGTGCGTCCTATGCATTTGACCCGTCCTCGTGTGTCCTCTGCGTCTGACCCGTCCTCCTGTGTCCTCCATGTTTGTCCCCATCCCCACGTGTCCTCTGCGTCTGAATCGTCCCTGTGTGTCCTCTGCATTTGGCCCGTCTTCATGTGTCCTCAACAGTAACATAAACAGAGACATAAACTGTCATTTTTAGGGGTAAAATCCCCCCAAAAAACAGCTTAAAAACGACACAAACACAAATAAAATGTGACTTTACTGACTTATTTTCCTTATTTTCGCCCTCGATTCACATTTTTATTCATTCCAACCACCACAAACCGAGGACGTCCCAGTTTTTTTAATTTTGAAAATCTGGTCACCCTATGCTTATGTGTGGCATTATGTCACCATGGCAACTGCTGAACATTCTGCCTTAGAGAGACATGTAGAACACCCCCAACATGATGTCACTGCAACTAACTGTAATATCAGTGTGTTACAAATCTGTAAAAGTCTGTATTTGATTTTTCATTTCATATTTATTCATTTTGTTTATTTATTTTTTTTATTGTTATTATTTAATGTATAATTTTTTATTTTTATTTATTTATTATTATTTTTTATGTATTTATTATTTTTTTTAAAGGTTTATTTTTACCTTTTTTTTATTTACTGGTATTCTTGCTCTTATTTGATTTGACTCGTTTTATTGTTTTAACGAGGACTAGTAGAGTGAAGTCGAGCTTTACTTTATATTTCTATTTTGTTATGTTTTATTTGTGTTTGTGCAGCACTTGGGAAACTGTTTTGTTTATGAAATGTGCTGTAGAAACAAAGTGGACTGGATTTGATTTAAAAGTTCAAGTTAAAACATTCACATGACTCCTTCAGTCACATTCATGCATACATTTTTCTTCTCTTGGACATTTTTGGGGAGATTTGATGAGTTTTCTCGGCGTCTCTAGCGGCGAGATGCAGTCACTTCACGGGAAACGACAGCGGTGCATTGTGGGAGATGTAGTAGCGGCACAGAGTCACGACATTATAATAAATGACACCTTTTAAACCTGTGAACTGTGAGAGCGAAGTAAACATCAGTCAAAAAGAACCTCGTGAATCTCGTGTTTGTGAACAAGCCGTATAACTACAAAACAAAGAAACGTATAATTCGATATATTGTGACAGCCCATGATATTATTGTGAGACTTTTGACGATACGATATCACGATATTTCAACGGTATTTGTCTTTGTGTGAACTCGTCCCTTAAATATCTGGATAATAACGTCGAGAAAAACACTTGAGTCCGTTTATATGTAAAAATAAAGCGTCCATTTGTCTCCACGGACAAATCCAGGACTAAACCCGGGTCTGGAGCGGGTCTGGAGCGGGTCTGGAGCGGGTCTGGAGCGGGTCTGGAGCGGGTCTAGAGCGGGTCGGAGCGGGTCCGGAGCGGGTCCGGAGCGGGTCTAGAGCAGGGCCAGACCGGGTCCGGGCCCCTCGTCCTCCTCGCTGTGGGAGCCGCAGGGGTTGTAGCGCCTCCGTGTGGCCTCCAGCAGCGTGTGGTCGGGCAGAGGAACAGTCTCGTACAGGAGCGTGTTCAGAGTTTCCTCGTAAATACGAGCTTCAGGAAACTCCACCTGAAACAAACACAAACAATACAACATTATTATTATTATTATTATTATGACTGCACGTAGGACTAAACCAGGACTAAACCAGGACTACTGAAACCAACTCAGGACTGAACCAACTACTTAAACCAGGACTTATAAACCAGACTAAACCAACTAAACCAGGACTAAACATTAAACCAGGACTGAGGACTAAACCAGACTAAACCAGGACTAAACCAGGACTACCAGGACTAAACAGGACTAAACCAGAACTGAACAAGGACTGAAACCAGGACTAAACCAGGACTGAACCAGGACTAAAGACTAAACCAGGACTAAACCAGGACTAAACCAGGAACTGAACAAGGACTGAAACCAGGACTGAAACAAGGACTGAACCAGGACTAAACCAGACTAAACCAGACTAAACCAGGACTAAACCAGGACTGAACAGGACTGAAACCAGGACTGAAACCAGGACTGAAACCAGGACTAAACCAGGACTAAGATAAGCCTAAAACCAGACTAAACCAGGACTAAACCAGGAACTAAACCAGGACTAAACCAGAACTAAACCAGGACTAAACCAGGACTAAACCAGACTAAACCAGGACTAAACCAGAACTAAACCAGGACTAAACCAGGACTAAACCAGGACTAAACCAGGACTGAACAAGGACTGAAACCAGGACTGAAACCAGGACTAAACCAGGACTGAACCAGGACTAAGATAAGGCCTAAACCAGAATTAAACCAGGACTAAACCAAGTCTAAACCTGGTCTGGACCTGGACTTGCCTTGGTGTGCTTCTTCTCGGTGGAGTAGACGATGGAGGTGCAGCAGACCTCGCCCAGTTTGCGTCCCTGTCCGTAGAAGGACCAGCAGCAGATCTCATCCCCGACCACGTTTCTGACGAACTGAACCCTGGAGCAGAAGCTCAGACACAGACGCTCGAACAGCTCGATGTTCTTCAGCAGGTTATCATCAGAGGAACTGAGGAGAACCAGAGGAACTGAGAACCAGAGGAACTGAGGAGAACCAGAGGAACTGAGAACCAGAGGAACTGAGGAGACAACCAGAGGAACTGAGAACCAGAGGAACTGAGAACCAGAGGAACTGAGAACCAGAGGAACTGAGAACCAGAGGAACTGAGAACAGAGGAACTGAGGAGAACTGAGAACCAGAGGAACTGAGGAGAACCAGAGGAACTGAGAACCAGAGGAACTGAGAACCAGAGGAACTGAGGAGACAAGAGGAACTGAGAACCAGAGGAACTGAGGAGACAACCAGAGGAACTGAGAACCAGAGGAACTGAGGAGACAACCAGAGGAACTGAGGAGAACAAGAGGAACTGAGAACCAGAGGAACTGAGAACCAGAGGAACTGAGGAGAACATTGAGGAGACAACAGAGGAACTGAGAACCAGAGGAACTGAGGAGAACCAGAGGAACTGAGGAAACTGAGAACAGAGGAACTGAGGAGAACAGAGAACTGAGAACCAGAGGAACTGAGGAGAGAAACCAGAGGAACTGAGGAGAACCAGAGGAACTGAGGAGAACCAGAGGAACTGAGGAGAACCAGAGGAACTGAGGAGACAACCAGAGGAACTGAGAAGAGAACCAGAGGAACTGAGGAGACAACCAGAGGAACTGAGGAGAACCAGAGGAACTGAGAAAGACCAGAGGAACTGAGGAAAGAACCAGAGGAACTGAGGAAAGAACCAGAGGAACTGAGGAAAGAACCAGAGGAACTGAGGAAAGAACCAGAGGAACTGAGGAAAGAACCAGAGGAACTGAGGAAAGAACCAGAGGAACTGAGGAGAGAACCAGGACTGAACCAGGACCAGGACTAAGACCAGGACTCAACCACGACTAGGACCAGGACTCAACCAGGACTAGACCAGGACTCAACCAGGACTAGGACCAGGACTCAACCAAGACTGGCCCTGGACCAGGACAAGGACTCAACCAGGTCCAGGACTGAACCAGGACCAGGATTGTACTGGGACTGAACCAGGACTAATCACAGACTAAACCAGGACTAAACCAGATCTAAACCAGGACTAAACCAGATCTAAACCAGGACTAAACCAGTCTTACCTTGTGTAGGAGTACTTGTTGTTGCTTCGGTTGTAAACCAACTTCACCACCGGCTGAAAAACACACAGACACACAAAAAAAGTGTCAGATGCCCTCCCCGTGTGTGTCAGATGCCAGATTTCAGTCTTTCTCAAACGTTATCGCTCCTGGACGAGTTTAAACTTGTTCACAATCTGTTTTTCTTCCAACAAACTGAGGAAGCATTTACCAGAATAATAATAATTTGCCAAGGAACAAATTCTTTTTATAGTGACAGAGAAGAGTTTCTGTTTCACGTGGATCGGACAAACTCATAAAAAAAAATTGTAAACGTTTCAGTAAAATCTTAAATCTCCGATATCAAACAAAAGTGACTCTTGTGAAGCTTTAAGTCGTGTTCTAATGTCGTTTCCAACGGAAGCCGAGAGGGGTCACAACAAACGCAAACGCCGCAACACATTAAAGAAAAAAGCCACAACACACCAAAAAAAGCCACAACGGAAATTATCGCGAGACTCTATTTTAATGCAAATGCCGCAACACATTAAAAAGCCGCAACACATTAAAAAGCCGCAACACATTAAAAAGCCACAACACATTAAAAAGCCGCAACACATTAAAAAGCCACAACACATTAAAAAGCCACAACACATTGAAAAGCCAAAACACATTGAAAAGCCACAACGGAAGTGACCACGGGACTCTATTTTCCGACGGACCGATCAAGTGGCAAGTGAAGAAGAAGAACTACACCGTGAAAAATAAAGGAACGGAGAAGAAAAGTAAAAGTAATTTATTATTTTATCATTATTCGTTTCACGTTGTAGTTCTTCTTCTTCACTTGCCGCTTGATCGGTCCGTCGGAAAATAGAGTCCCGCGGTCACTTCTGTTGTGGCTTTTTTGGTATGTTGTGGCTTTTTTGTTGGTTTGTTGTGGCTTTTTTGTTGTGTTGTGGCATTTTTGTTGTGTGTTGTGGCTTTTTTGTTGTGTTGTGGCTTTTTTGTTGTGTTGTGGTTTTTTTGGGTTTGTTATGGCTTTTTTTTTTTGGTTTGTTATGGCTTTTTTTTGTGGGTTGTTATGGCTTTTTTTGTTGTGTTGTGGCTTTTTTGTTGTGTTGTGGCATTTTTGTTGTGTTGTGGCTTTTTTTTGGTTTGTTATGGCTTTTTTTGGTGTGTTGTGGCTTTTTTGTTGTGTTGTGGCTTTTTTTGTTGTGTTGTGGCTTTTTTTGGTTTGTTGTGGCTTTTTGTTGTATTGTCGCATTTGTATTTGTCGTGGCATTTGCGTTTGTTGTGACACCTCTCGGCTTCCGTAGTTTCCTCGTCGAAAACAGACCTGGACTTGTGTTTTGTATCGTTCATGTTTGAATAAATCTTTATTATGAGTCTGTCTACATTTCCAAAGCTCAAAACGCTCTGTTCCACCTTGTGATGTCATGAAGTGGTAGTTTAAGTGAACAGCTCCTTTTACTTTGTCGTTCAGATTGTCGATTCCAGATCTGAGATTAAACGATCCAGATGATTCTAGTGAAGGTGTGTGGAGTTTAGAAACACAGTGGAGCACTTCCTTCCTGTATCACCACATGATGACATCACAAGGTGGAACAGCGTGTTTTCTGCAGTGTGTGTGTGAGTTTGTACCTTGGTGGACGACCTGATGATGAGGTCTTCTTCTTTCCTGGAGGTGACCACAGGAGTGACACACAGAGGAAGCTCCTGACTCGCCTTCTGCTCCAAACAAAACAAACAAAACACAAACATCAAAACAAAAACAAAACAAACAAAACACAAAACAAAACACAAACAAAACAAAACACAAACAAAACAAACAAAACACAAACAAACAAAACAAACAAACAAAACACAAAACACACAAACACAAACAAAAACAAACAAAACAAACAAAACAAACAAAACACAAACAAACAACAAAACACAAAACAAACAAAACACAAACACAAACAAAACAAACAAAACACAAACAAAACAAACAAAACAACAAACAAACAAAAACACAAAACAAACACAAACAAAACAAACAAAACAAAACAAAACAAACAAAACACAAAACAAAACAAAAAAACAAACAAAACACAAACAAAACAAACAAAACAAACAAAACACAAACAAAACAAAACAAACACAACAAAACAAACAAAACAAAACAAAAACAAAACAAAACAAAACAAAACAAACAAACAAAACAAACAAAACAAAACAAAACAAAACAAACAAAACACAAACAAAACAAACAAAACACAAACACACAAACACAAACAAAAACAAAACAAACAAACACAAACAAAACACAAACATCAAAACACAAACAAAACAAACAAAACACAAACAAAACACAAACAAACACAAACAAAACACAAACATAAACAAAACAAACAAAACAAAACAAACAAACAAAACAAACAAAACAAAAACAAACAAAAAACAAAACAAACAAACAAAAACAAACAAAACACAAAACAAAACACAAAACAAAACACAAACATCAAAAACAAACAAACAAACAAAACACAAACATCAAAACACAAACAAAACAAACAAAACACAAACACAAACAAAACACAAACAAAACAAACAAAACACAAACACAACAAAAAAAAACACAAACAAAACAAACAAAACACAAACATCAAAACACAAAACACAAACAAAACAAACAAAACACAAACATCAAAACACAAACAAACAAACAAACACAACACAAAACACAAACAACAAACAAAACAAACAAAACACAAACAAAACACAAAAACAAAACAAACAAAACAAACAAAACACAAACAAAACACAAACAAAACAAACAAAACACAAAACACAAACAAAACACAAAACAAACACAAACAAAACACAAACATCAAAACACAAACAAAACACAAACAAACATTAAGCAAACAGGAACAGCAAACTAAACCAGGACTAGACCAGAATTAAACCAGGATTAAACCAGGACTAGACCAAAATTAGACCAGGACTAAAGCAAGACTATACCGGAATTAAACCAGGATTAAACCAGGACTAAAGCAGGACTAAAGCAGGACTAAACCAAAATTAGACCAAAATTAAACCACGACTAGACCAAAATTAAACCAGGACTAGACCAAAATTAAACCAGGACTAAACCAAAATTAGACCAGGACTGAACCAGGACTGAACCAGGACTAGACCAGCGCAGTACTCACCTGTAGAGTACTCTGACAGTGCAGTACTAGTCCCTGTAGTCCGTAGTACCGGGCCTCGTTCAGGACCTCTTGGATCTGGACTCTGGACTTGGGCAGGACCAGGGACCCGTCTCTCAGGAAGTTCAGGATGGATCCAAAATGTTTCCCACTGCGATCGATCAGAACCCAACCTGGAAAGAGACCAGACCTGAACCAGGACTGAACCAGGACTGAACCAAGACTGAACCAAGACTGAACCAAGACTAGACCAGGACTGAACCAGGATTGAACCAAGACTGAACCAGGACTAGACCAGGACTGAACCAGGACTAACCAGGACTAGACCAGGACTGAACCAGGACTGAACCAGGACTGAACCAGGACTGAACCAGGACTAAACCAGGACTAGAACCAGGACTAGACCAGGACTAGACCAGGACTGAACCAGGACTGAACCAGGACTAAACCAGGACTAAACCAGACTACTGAACCAGGACTAAACAGGACTAAACCAGGACTAAACCAGGACTAAACCAGGACTGAACCAGGACTAAACCAGGACTAAACCAGGACTAAACCAGGACTGAACCAGGACTGAACCAGGACTAGACCAGGACTAGACCAGGACTAGACCAGGACTGAACCAGGACTGAACCAGGACTGAACCAGGACTGAACCAGGACTAAACCAGGACTAAACCAGGACTGAACCAGGACTGAACCAGGACTGAACCAGGACTGAACCAGGACTAGACCAGGATTAGACAAAGACTAAACCAGAACTAAGCCAGGACTAAACTAGGACTGAGCCAGACCTCAACCAGGACTCAACCAGGACTAAACCAGGACTAAACCAGGACTGAACCAAGACTAAACCAGGACTGAACCAAGACTAGACCAGGACTGGACTGAAGTTTCCAGATTAAATTAAATTAAATTCGTACCTTCTCTGTCGATCATGACTTCGGTCTTTCCTCTGAACATGTCTCTGAGGCGAGACTCTCGTCGCGTCAGGACTCGGAGCGGGCAGAGGAACAGAGCGCCCCCTACGTTCAGACGCACGTACTGCCCCCCCGCCGCGCCGCCGCCTCCTCCCGCCGCCGCGTGTCTGTGCGCGCTGCAGACGGCGCCGCTCGCAGGTCGCTCGGGGGGAGTGTGGAGGGAGAGCTCTGCGGCGCCGCCCTGTGGGGAAGGACGGGTACTGCAACAGGAGGCGGCGCTCTCCGGACACACTGCGACCTAGACAAGACATTAAAGTATTTATTCTTTCAAGTTTGTAATAAAAACACTAATATTTAAAGTCCACGGTGTAACTTTTCTGGTGGAGGCTCTGTCGTACGCTTTTCTCCAGGGAGATGTTATCGCTTTGTCTGGAATTTTCCACAGTATGGCATTAAACCAGGTTTTCTAGGAGTTTTTCCCAGAAGTTCATGTTCATACCAAAGTGAATCTTGGTAAAATTATTTTGAAGTATAATCAAAGTAAAAACTAGATCCTCATTTGTCACAGGTATCGATGCTCAAACTTCCCACTCACAGAACAGAAGTGAACCTTTCATGAACAGTTTTAGAACGATCTAGAACAAAACAAGTATAAGAGCACATAGACTAGTACACACCCAAGGACCTGGTTCAGTCCTGGTTTAGACCTGGTTCAGTCTTGGATCAGTTCTGGTTTAGGCCTGATTTAGTCCTAGTTTAGTCCTGGTTTAGTTCTGATTTAGTCCTGGTTTAGTCCTGGTTTAGTCCTGGTTTAGTCCAGTTTAGTTATCAGTTAGATTTAGACCTGGGTTAGTCCTTTTATTAAGTCTGGTTCTGGTTTAGGCCTGATTTAGTCCTGGGTTAGTCCTGGTTAGTCCTGGTTTCCTAGTTTTAGTCCTGGTTTAAGTCCTAGTAGTCTAGTTACCTAACTGGTTAAGTTTAGTAGTTAGTTTAGCTTTAGTCCTTTAGTCCTAAGTGTTTAACTTTAGTCCTTTAGTAGTTTAGTCCTGGTTAGTCCTGGTTTAGTCCTGGTTTAGTTTAGTCCTGGTTCAGTCCTGTTAGTTTCAGTCCTTTAAGTCCTGGTTAAGTCCTGGTTCCTGGTTCAGTCCTGGTTTAGTCCTGGTTTAGTCCTGGTTAGTCCTGTTTAGTCCTGGTTCAGTCCTGGTTTAGTCCTGGTTCAGTCCTGGTTAGTCCTAAGTCCTAGTTTAGTCCTGGAGTCTGGTTAGTCCTGGTTCAGTCCTGGTTTCAGTCCTGGTTCAGTCCTTAGTCCTAGTTTAGTCCTGGTTCAGTCCCTGGTTCAGTCCTGGTTCAGTCCTGGTTTAGTCCTGGTTTAGTCCTGGTTCAGTCCTGGTTTAGTCCTGGTTTAGTCCTGGTTTAGTCCTGGTTCAGTCCTTTAGTCCTAGTTTAGTCCTGGTTTAGTCCTGGTTCAGTCCTGGTTCAGTCCTGGTTAGTCCTGGTTTAGTCCTTTTAGTCCAGTCCTAGTTTATCCTGGTCAGTCCTGGTTCAGTCCTGTTTCTGGTTTAGTCCTGGTTAAGTCCTGTTTAGTCCTGGTTCCTGTTCAGTCCTGGTTCACTGGTTTAGTCTGGTAAGTCCTGGTTTAGTCCTGGTTTAGTCCTGGTTTCAGTCCTGGTTCAGTCCTGAGTCCTTCAGTCCTGGTTCAGTCCTTTTAGTCCTGGTTTAGTTTAGTCAGTCCTGTCCTTTAGTCCTGGTTTAGTCCTGTTCAGTTTTAGTCCTGGTTCAGTCCTGGTTTAGTCTTTTAGTCAGTCCTGGTTCAGTCCTGGTTCAGTCCTGGTTTAGTCCTGGTTAGTCCTAAGTCCTGGTTCAGTCCAGTCCTGGTTCAGTCTAGAGTCCAGTAGTCCTGGTTTAGTCCTGTTTATCCTGGTTCAGCCTGTTCAGTCCTGGTTCAGTCCTGGTTTAGTCCTGGTTTAGTCCTGTTTAGTCCTGTTTTAGTCCTGTTTAGTCCTGGTTGTCCTAGTTTAGTCCTGGTTTAGTCCTGGTTTAGTCCTGGTTTAGTCCTGTTTAGTCCTGGTTTAGTCCTAGTGGTTAGTCCTAGTTTAGTCCTGGTTCAGTCCTGGTTTAGTCTGGTTTAGTCCTGGTTCTAGTCCTTAGTTTAGTCCTAGTTTAGTCCTGTTTAGTCCTTTAGTTTAGTCCTGGTTCAGTCCTGGTTTCCTGTTTAGTCCTGGTTCAGTTTAGTCCTGGTTTCAGTCCTAGTTTAGTCCTTTAGTCCTAGGTTTAGTCCTGGTTAGTCCTAGTAGTTAGTCCTGGGTCTTTAGTCCTGGTTAGTCCTGGTTAGTCCTGGTTTAGTCCTGGTTTAGTCCTGGTTTAGTCCTGGTTAGTCCTGGTTTCAGTCCTGGTTCAGTCCTGGTTTAGTCCTGGTTAGTCCTGGTTTAGTCCTTTAGTCCTGGTTAGTCCTGGTTTAGTCCTGGTTAGTCCTGGTTTAGTCCTGGTTTAGTCCTGGTTATGGTTCAGTCCTGGTTCAGTCCTGGTTTAGTCCTGGTTTAGTCCTGGTTTAGTCCTGGTTTAGTCCTGGTTTAGTCCTGGTTTAGTCCTAGTTTAGTCCTGGTTAGTCCTGTTCAGTTTAGTCCTGGTTTAGTCCTGGTTTAGTCCTGGTCCTAGTTTAGTCCTGGTTTAGTCCTGTTTAGTCCTGTTAGTCCTGGTTCAGTCCTGGTTCAGTCCTCAGTCCTGTTAGTCCTGGTTAGTCCTGGTTCCTAGTTTAGTCCTGGTTTAGTCCTCAGTCCGTTTAGTCCTGTTAGTCCTGGTTCAGTCCTGGTTTTAGTCCTGGTTTAGTCCTGGTTTAGTCCTAGTTTAGTCCTGGTTCAGTCCTAGTTTAGTCCTGGTTTAGTCCTGGTTTAGTCCTGGTTTAGTCCTGTTTAGTCCTGGTTCAGTCCTGGTTTAGTCCTGTTTAGTCCTGGTTTAGTCCTGGTTCAGTCCTGGTTCAGTCCTGGTTAGTCCTGGTTCCTGGTTTATTTAGTCCTGGTTAGTCCTAGTTTATTCCTGGTTTAGTCCTAGTTTAGTCCTGGTTAGTCCTGGTTTAGTCCTGGTTTAGTCCTGGTTTAGTCCTGGTTTAGTCCTGGTTTAGTCCTGGACCACTGAGGGATCACACAGATATAAAGACACGTGTGAATAGAAAAGAAAGTTCGACCATTAAATGTGGAAAATCAAAATATATTGTCTAAAGAAAGAGAGTTTTTATTTTCTTCATGGGATCAGAATCAGTATCGAGTCTATTTCTTATATTATTATCGAAATCGAGGTTGAAATTTCAGTATCGACGCTTGTTTGAACACAATCGGAAAAACTGCAAATCTATTTTTTTGGGAAAATTGTACCAGCTCAAAATGATTTTCACTGGGCCAAATGCTCTTCACAAAAATCAGCTTTCGTTTTTAATTTCTTGGACATAAACATTTGTTAATTGGAGGTAAACCGTCTCCCACAGATCACCGCGAGCTCGTGGACAGGGGCGCACCTGCCGCTCCGGAGGGGGGGGCTGCCCGGCGCTCTCCTCCCGGGGACGGTGGCTCTCGTTGGGGCAGCTGTGGCCGGACATGTCCCTCTGGAGGTAGATGACCACCCGGCACACGGAGCGCAGACGCCCCGCCGTGATGACAGGAGCAGGGGCAGGGGCAGGAGCAGGAGCAGGAGCTAGGGGGCGCTGTGGAGACGGGGCATCAGACTGGGATCAAGACGAACTGAAGGAGAAACAAATAATAAACTGAACATTTGGTATTTTTTGGTATTTCTCTGTAAAAAGTCACATTAAAAGTTTTTTTAAGGAAAGTGAAATACAGCGTCAGTCCTTTTTCAAATGTTGTGCATGAGTGACACCACCTTCCTCCTCCACAGCCTCAGTAGAAACATCTCCTCCCGCCTCTTTACTCCAGAAATCAGGCTTGTTTACAGCCAGTGCACGTTCAGAATTACTGTTGAAGTGACCCCGTCTAGAAATAATTTAGCGACCGACGCGTCAGTTTTTAGACCCTTTGTCTCTCTGGAAGGAATCTCCAAGAATCACCTCAGTTTGTCTTCGCTCCTTTTCCCCTTCTCTTCTTCTTTCAGCGACCACAAAAACGGACTTTCTTTTGCGGCGAACTGGTCGTGGATTCTCGTCCGCCGTCGCAACAAACTTTGTGCGAATTGCGAGGAAGCGACAGTTTGAAAAAGCCTCTAAGAACCGCTGCATAAACCACATAATCCCGACGAGTCAGTTACACTAGAAACGTAGGGAGTCTGATTGACAACCTAACAGCCAATACATAATGAGGCAGCCTCGTTTTCTATTGGCTGATGTTTATCTGGCCTCAACACGTCCACAGTTGATGGGTTTTCATTCTTTTTTTTTTTTGGTCATCATAATTACAAGGCTGCTGCGTCTCTGTAATGGTATTTTAAACTTTCAATGACAATTTGAAACTGAAAAAAAATCCTCCATACAACCTTTAAACTCACAAATTTTTATTTATTTTTTTACTGGTTAACTCCTCGCCTGAACTGAAACCACAAACGTAAGGCAGGGTGGTCAAAAGTATCGAAAATCGGACACAAATCGATACTAAAACTAAAAGTATCGAAACGAGATCCTCATTTGTCACAGGGATCGATACTAAAACGTCCCATTAACAAAACAGAAATGAAGCTTTTCCTGAACGTCTTCAGAACGAAAGAATATAAAACAAGTATAAGAGGTTTAGACCTGGTTTAGTCCTGGTTCAGTCCTGGTTTAGTCCTGGTTTAGCCCTGGTTTAGCCCTGGTTTAGCCCTGGTTTAGACCTGGTTTAGACCTGGTTTAGACCTGGTTTAGTCCTGGTTTAGCCCTGGTTTAGACCTGGTTTAGTCCTGGTTCAGTCCTGGTTTAGTCCTGGTTTAGTCCTGGTTCAGTCCTGGTTTAGACCTGGTTTAGTCCTGGTTTAGCCCTGGTTTAGTCCTGGTTTAGCCCTGGTTTAGTCCTGGTTTAGTCCTGGTTTAGTCCTGGTTTAGTCACGATTCCTAACTTTTCACAGGTATCGATACTAAAACTTCCTGTTTTAAACTCACGATTCATCATGTTTTTCCTGTGTAAATATTAGTTTTTTCCTGAGCGCCCCCTGCTGGTGGAGTCTCGTGAGTCACATTCACAGGCTGAAACTCGTGTCTCTTTTCTCCGATTCCTCTCCTCCATCCTCCATGTTTATTTTGTTTATTTGTCAGGGGCCGTGTACAAAAGCAGAAATCAAAAAAACTTTGCACAAAAGAAGTTTTGTACAAAACTGTGGCTCTCGGAGTTTAATTTCATCTGCAGAATCCTGAAACATGAGACGAGTTTTAATCTGGTTTAATTAGAAACAACGATTAATGATCTGAGAGCATCAACTCTACTGGACTAAACCAGGACTAAACCAGGACTAAACCAGGACTAAACCAGGTCTAAACCAGGACTAAACCAGGACTAAACCAGGACTAAACCAGGTCTAAACCAGGTCTAAACCAGGACTAAAACGGGTCTAAACCAGGTCTAAACCAGGTCTAAACCAGGACTAAACCAGGACTAAACCAGGTCTAAACCAGGACTAAACCAGGGTCTAAACCAGGTCTAAACCAGGACTAAACCAGGTCTAAACCAGGACTAAACCAGGTCTAAACCAGGGTCTAAACCAGGAACCAGGACTAAACCAGGGTCTAAACCAGGTCTAAACCAGGACTAAACCAGGTCTAAACCAGGACTAAACCAGGTCTAAACCAGGACTAAACCAGGTCTAAACCAGGACTAAACCAGGACTAAACCAGGACTGACTAAACCAGGTCTAAACCAGGACTAAACCAGGTCTAAACCAGGACTAAACCAGGACTAAACCAGGACTAAACCAGGACTAAACCAGGTCTAAACCAGGTCTAAACAAGGACTGAACCAGGACTACACCAGGTCTACACCAGGTCTACACCAGGACTAAACCAGAACTAAAACAGGACTAAAACAGGACTAAAACGGGACTAAAACGGGACTGAACCAGGACTGAACCAGGACTAAACCAGGACTAAACCAGGACTGAACTGGGACTAAAACATGTTTAAATCTGATACTCATCCAGGTCTGCATTAGTACTAAAATGGGACTAAACCGAGTCTAAACTGAACTAACACCTGGGACTAGAACCAGGTTAAAATCTGGGACTAAACTAGGACTAAACCAGGTCTAAACCAGGTCTAAACCAGGACTAAAGTTAGCCGCCGCATTGAGCCCAAACTTTAGCCAACATGTTTCACTTTTTATTATGAAAATATAATCGTTTTAAACCACTTTTACTTTCCTGTTTTCTCCTTGTAACACACGCGGAGCTGTCATGTCTTTATTTTAATCATAAAATGTCAAAATAAAAGTGTTTTTATGTTTGTTTTGGTTCGTTAGCTTTGGGAAGTTTCGGCGCAGATTCGCACTTTTTTCACTCACCTTTCTGTGTCGGCGGTCATTTCCGCTTTTCCACGAGTCCAAGTTAACCCCAAAGTGAATCTTGGTGAAAATATCTGAAGTAAAATCAAAGTGAAAATAAAAGTTTAAATCGTAAAACTTTCCCAAAATCAGTGAAATGTCGCTGCGCTCCGGAGGAAGTTTGGCACAAGCGTCACTAATGCGCTACGGCCCCCTGCAGGACGGGACGCGCAATTACAGCCTCAGCACTGGAAATAAAACAGAAATTATAACAAAAATCTGACTTTATTTTAACTTCTGCTCTCGGTTTTATGTGTTCATACAAATCAGTCTGTTTTTGCACAATTTTAATAAGATTATATATTTTTTTTAATGTTCTGCTAAACATTTACTAAAACAGGACTAAACAAGGTCTAAAAAAGGTCTAAACCAAGTCTAAACAAGGACTAAACCAGGACTAAACCAGGACTAAACAAGGACTAAACCAGGACTAAACCAGGACTAAACCAGGACTAAACCAACTAAACAAGGACTAAACCAAGTCTAAACAAGGACTAAAGCAGAACTAAACCAGGCCTAAACAAGGTCTAAACCAGGACTAAACAAGGACTAAACCAGGACTAAACCAGGACTAAACCAGGACTAAACAAGGACTAAACCTAAACAAGGACTAAACCAAGTCTAAACAAGGACTAAAGCAGAACTAAACCAGGACTAAACAAGGTCTAAACCAAGTCTAAACAAGGACTAAACCAGGACTAAACAAGGACTAAACCAGGACTAAACAAGGACTAAACCAGGACTAAACAAGGACTAAACCAAGTCTAAACAAGGACTAAACAAGGACTAAACCAGGACTAAACAAGGACTAAACCAAGTCTAAACAAGGACTAAAGCAGAACTAAACCAGGCCTAAACAAGGTCTAAACAAGGACTAAACAAGGACTAAAACAGAACTAAACCAGGACTAAACAAGGTCTAAACAAGGACTAAAACAGGACTAAACCAGGACTACACCAGGACTACACCAGGACTACACCAGGACTAAACCAGGACTACACCAGGACTAAACCAGAACTAAAACAGGACTAAAACGGGACTAAAACAGGACTAAATCAGGACTAAACCAGGACTACAACAGTACAAAACTGGTACTAAACCAGGTCTAAACTATTATTAAACCTGGACAGAGACCAGGTCAGAAACTAATGAACTGATCCAGGATTAAACCAGGACTAAACAAGGACTAACCAAGGTCTAAACCAGGACTAAACAAGGACTAAAGCAAGTCTAAACCAGGACTAAACAAGGACTAAAACAGAACTAAACCAAGTCTAAACAAAGACTAAAACAGAACTAAACCAGCTCTAAACAAGGACTAAACCAGGACTAAACCAGTTTGGCACAAGCGTCACTGATGCGCTACGGCCCCCTGCAGGACGGGACGCGCAATTACAGCCTCAGCACTGGAAATAAAACATAAATTATAACAAAAATCTGACTTTATTTTAACTTCTGCTCTCGGTTTTATGAGTTTTTACAGATCAGTCAAATTTTTCACTGTCTCAACATGAATTTTGTTTTTTCATTAAAATACAGTGGATTTTTGGACCTTCAAGGCTCATTGTGTAACTTTTCTAGTGGAGGATCTGTTAAATATGGGGGGTTGTTTTGTCTCATGTCTCCGTGTGAAAATCAGCTGTTTGTGGATCTGTCTGCATTTGTGGATTTCTCAAAACTACATGTCAAACTCAGGCCCGGGGACCAAATTTGGCCCACGATATAATTATATTTGTCCCACGAGATCAAATCAAATCTGTATTCGAGCTGCACAGATCGACTATAGAGACACGATTTATTTAAAATGTTGTTATTATTTTATTTTCTCTTTGTTCTGGATTCAATGTTTAAGCAAAAAATATTATTAAACATTTATTTTAACAAGTGTCAAGTCCCAGCGCCTCTGCTCCAGGTCTTCATCTCCACTCCTGAGCTCCTCTCTCCTCTTCCTCGTCTTCTCCTCTTCCTCGTCTTCTCCTCTTGCTCGTCTTCTCCTCTTCCTCGTCTTCTCCTCTTCCTCGTCTTCTCCTCTTCCTCGTCTTCTCCTCTTCCTCGTCTTCTCCTCTTCCTCGTCTTCTCCTCTTGCTCGTCTTCTCCTCTTCCTCGTCTTCTCCTCTTCCTCGTCTTCTCCTCTTGCTCGTCTTCTCCTCTTCCTCGTCTTCTCCTCTTCCTCGTCTTCTCCTCTTGCTCGTCTTCTCCTCTTGCTCGTCTTCTCCTCTTCCTCGTCTTCTCCTCTTCCTCGTCTTCTCCTGTTCCTCGTCTTCTCCTCTTCCTCGTCTTCTCCTCTTCCTCGTCTTCTCCTCTTCCTCGTCTTCTCCTCTTCCTTGTCTTCTCCTCCTCTTCTCTTTTCTGAGTTGATGAGGTTGTTGTTCTTCGTGTGTCCAGTAGGGGCAGTAGAAAACACAGGTGAATCATTTGATTCTTCCCAGATGAACAGACACAAACCAAACCAAAGAATGTGAAGGAAACACAGAGACACCGGTGAGGAAATTTACCTGTAAAATTAGTTTTAAGTTCAGTTAAAACAGTAAAATGGTGGTAAAATCCATATAGAAGTAATCTCTTTAATTTAGATGTAAAATGATTATTCTGTTTAATTTAAGTATAATGAGAAGCTGAGGTTAAATTTAAATACAATTGGCTGATTTATTTTATGAAAGTAGATTAATAAATAAATTCAATTTAAGTCTGAAAATGTTAAATAAAGCTAAATTGAATAATTAAATCATTTGATAATTGGCATTTGATCATTTAAATATAAAGTAAAAAATCCAATTAAAAGTAAATGGTGTAAAATCTACTAAGTTAAAGTAGCACTAATTTGGAAAATATATATTTAGCATTTAAAAAACAATTTATTACTTTATTAAAAAAAATCTTTATATGAAATAAATGTAATATTTTATTATTAGTCATTTAAAATTTTATAAAATATGTTTATATTTAAGATTAAAAATGAATTGGTAAAATGATACATTGGCTAAAATTTTAGTTATTTAATGTGAAAAATGTATATTAATAAATATGATTATATATAAAAATAAATATATTTTAAGTATATAAATTCAAATTCTTATTATATAACTGATAAAATTGTAAAATGTAAATTTAATTTAATTATTACACATATTTGTTTACTTTAAAGGTTTTCGACCTGCTACTGCTACTAAAGGAACTGAACAATTTCAATAAAAATCTTTAAGTTGAGTCGAGTCTTGTGTCTGTTTTCCTGGTTTTTCAGGTTGGACCTGTACTTGTTGTGTCCTTGGGCAAGACACTTCAGCCACATCAGTAAACATCTAAATCTTACATCCAGTTCCTTAAAGTGTTTGAACATGTGAGTGAAAATAAGGACACAGACACAGTTTTTATAAAAGCGTTGGTTTATCACGGTCCAAACTCCACGTGACTCGTACCATGACACAGCACGAAACAAAGGCATGAAAAAAAACTAAACAGAAAAGAAACTGAAAACGCCGTCGCTCGTTCATAAATACACTTCCACATTAAGAGTTCGTGTCCGTCCAAAAAAAAAAACAAAAAAAAACGCCACCATGGAAACATGACACTGTGGGACATTCAGAGTTCAGCCTCGTGATTGGTCGAGTCGGGTCATGTGATGCAGTGACGAACAGGAGGAGGAGGAGGAGGTCATGTGATCGCGTCCAGACGTCCTGCGGAGAGAAGGAACAGGGACAGATTTAATTTAATATTTTTATCATGGAGAGCGTTCACGTTCAGATCCCTGCGCTCATATTTACACCTCATGTCGTCAGTATTCTCTGGAGTTGTGACGCTAACAGGAAGCACTGCTCTGTCTGAAGATCTGTCACTCAAATTAGACTTAATCTGAGTTTTATTTTAACACAAACTGACCACAAAGACCCGACTTGGTGGAGCGACAAAAGCTGAGCTGATCTGAGCTGTTAAACAAGTCTCCCTCCCGCACGGACTAAACCAGGACTAAACCAGGACCAAACCAGGACCAAACCAGGTCTAAACCAGGACTAAACCAGGACTAAACCAGGACTAAACCAGGACTAAACCAGGACTAAACCAGGACTAAACCAGGACCAAACCAGGACCAAACCAGGACCAAACCAGGACCAAACCAGGACTAAACCAGGACCAAACCAGGTCTAAACCAGGTCTAAACCAGGACTAAACCAGGTGTAAACCAGGTGTAAACCAGGTCTAAACCAGGACTAAACCAGGTCTAAACCAGGTCTAAACCAGGTCTAAACCAGGTCTAAACCAGGACTAAACCAGGACTAAACCAGGTCTAAACCAGGTCTAAACCAGGTCTAAACCAGGACTAAACCAGGTGTAAACCAGGTGTAAACCAGGTCTAAACCAGGACTAAACCAGGTCTAAACCAGGTCTAAACCAGGTCTAAACCAGGTCTAAACCAGGACTAAACCAGGACTAAACCAGGTCTAAACCAGGTCTAAACCAGGTGTAAACCAGGTCTAAACCAGGACTAAACCAGGACTAAACCAGGTCTAAACCAGGTCTAAACCAGGTCTAAACCAGGACTAAACCAGGACTAAACAAGGACCAAACCAGGTCTAAACCAGGTCTAAACCAGAACTAAACCAGGACTAAACCAGGTCTAAACCAGGTCTAAACCAGGACTAAACCAGGTCTAAACCAGGGACCAAACCAGGACTAAACCAGGACTGAGGATCTAAGTGAAAATAACGACACAGAGTTTTTATAAAAGATAATTAAACATTTTCATTTTCCCGTGGTCAGTGCGAGCGTTCAGTGATCAGTTTCTGTTTTGGAGTTTGATTTTTGACAAAAAGGTGAGACTTTATTAGACGAAAAAACAACAGTTTTCTTCATTATTTGTCTCCAAAACCAACATTTTCAGTTTTCGATTTTGTGTTTAAATGAAAAATGGAAAAAACGGATAACGGCCGTTTACGTGACTTCAGTGACTGAGATGAAGGACTTTTGCACCGCATATGGACGGGACCAGACCAGGACCAGACCAGGACCAGATCAGGACCAGACCAGAACCAGACCAGGACCAGAACAGGACCAGACCAGGACCAGGCCGGGACCAAGACCAGGCCGGGACCAAGACCAGGCCGGGACCAAGACCAGGCCGGGACCAAGACCAGGCCGGGACCAGACCAAGACCGAGACCAGAACCGAGACCGGGACCAGACTGGGACTGAGACCAAGACTGAGACCAAGACCAGACTGGGACTAGACCGGAGGCTCAGAGCCCACGGCAGGGCCAGGGCTCAAAGCTGAGGCTTGAACCCCGAGGAGGCTCGGAGTCAAAGCTCGGAGTCTGATCTGGTCCCAGTCTGGTCCTGGTCTGGTCCTGGTCTGGTCCCGGTCTGGATCAGTCCTGGTTCAGTCCTGGTTCAGTCCGGCATCACAGTCACTGAAGTCACGTAAACGGGAAACGGTCGTTATCCGTTTTTTCCATTTTTCATTTAAAATCGAAAACTAAAAAAACAAATCATTATCTGTTTTTTCATTTTGGTTTTGGAGCCAAATAATGAAGGAAACTGTTGTTTTTCTTATTTTTGGTTTTATATTGAAAAACAAATGAACGAATGACACATGGATTCAGATTAAAGTCTAATTTCGTCTCTGGTTGGAGCTTTTACATTTGAGGCAGACGCGTCTGACGTGCATCATAAACACCCTGGACCAACGAGGGAGAAAAACCCTGCAGGTGTGTCCAGGGAGCGAGCGCTCGGTCAGGGTCTTGTTTTCTCAGTCTCTCAGTGAGCGATGGCAGAGCAGGAGACAGAGTGAGACAAAACCTGCTCACTTACTCCCAAAATGTTTTCAGTCCGAGCGTCTCCAGACTTTTATCAGAGGAAACACTCCAGATGCCCTTTCAAAATACGTTCTGTAAAACCGCTACAGTCGTGTAAACACGAGCATCAAACAGAAACTTTACAAGAACGACTTCTGAAGTAAAAGGAGCGAGGAGCAACGACCAAAGAGAAACAGAGACGAGCTTCATTAATGCAGCTCCACAGATGCGACTCGACATCACTGTAAAACATCAAGTCTCTGGACTTTTGTTTTGTGGTTTTAAACAGAATTCATCCAGTCAACAATGAAAACAAAAACAATGTGAAAAGTTTAGAGTTTAAACGTGAGAACAAACAGAGGCTGGAGTCTCAGGAGCAGATCTGTGTCTCTGGGGTAAAGTGAAGCTTTTAAAAGTACGAGCATTTGCAGTTCTGCTGACGGTCTGTGCTGCTGATGCTCCTGGTGTAAAGTGCAGACTTTGTGTCACTTAGGCTACGTTCAGACTGCAGGGTTTAACGCTCAATTCAGATTTTTTTGTGAAATCCGATGTTTTTTCGAGGTCGTTCACATTTCCAGTTAAATGTGACTTGTATGTGACTCCAGTGTGAACATTAAACGGTCCAAAAGTGTCCCACATGTGACACTGGAGACACGACGACGTCAACCGCAGCGAGCGTCTCTGTGTTTACAGAAGTTGTCCAAACATGGACGCAGCATCGAGCACCTGGAGATTTTAAAGTTCCTCTCGTACCGGAGCCAGAACATGAACAACTTACTTGTTTTAAGGAGGAGATTGAGAAGGAGAAGGACGAGGTTTTTGGTCGTGGTGTTTTGTGGTGAGTGGTGATGTGCTTCACTTCAGTCACACAGAGTTCATTAACAATTTTCTCCTACTTCAGCGCAGAATAGTGACGTTTGTGTCTTGTTGATGACGTGTAGGTGGATGAATGCACTTTGGCCGTTCAGACTGAAGTCACATGTTAAAGATCAGATATGTATCAGTTTCAGGAGCACATATCCAAGTGTCCTGGGTCACATTTGAAAAATCGGATCTGTGTCATTAAAAGATCAGACACAGGTCACATAGGGGCCAAAAAATCTGATTTGGGTGACTTCAGGTGCATCTGAACACAGCCTCTGGTCGCTGTAGTGGACTTGCATCAGTGACGGGTGTGTACCTACACCTCTTTAGAGAATTTAGTGTTTAGTTTATTTATTACATTAAACAATCAGTGGAGGAGAACGGCTCAATAGCGATGAGTATTTATAAAACTACATGTGTAAAAGTAAAACTATGACCAATATTTATCATGGGGAAAAATCCCTCAGTCGTCCAGGTAGAATCCACAGCAAATTCAGTTTGTCAACTGAACAAAACTTTATTTGGTCGAATACTTTTCAGAGCTCATCCAAACTGCTTCTTCAATAGACGCATCAAGAATCTCTGACTTCAGGTCATCGCGCAATTCATACTGGGAAAGAATTTCTGAGAAAATGAGCATCAAACCTCCATGTTTGTTTTCCCAGTGGGACGTGTTTATTGACAAAGTCGATCTTTTCAAGTCTTTTGAACCATATCACTTTTGTTTCTGGTTCTGATATTGTCATGTTTTAGTTTTGGGATTCAGATGTCGTAATTGTGTGGTTTTTGGATCCTAACAGCGAAAAACAACTCGAGAAATGTGTTTGTGAACTCCATAAATGCAAAAGTGAATCAGATGTGTGTGACTCAAACCTCTGTTCAAACTCTTTCTCTTTCTGAAAGGTGAAGGTGATGGGCAGGATTGATCCACAGGAAGAACCAAAAAGGAAACATTTGTCTGACTAAATCATCCCGAGTTTACAGAGAACATTTTGTATGTGGAGCGACAACAAAGCAAAATCCCGTTTGTTAATGTAGAGGAGCAGAAGACAAACAGACTGAGCTGCACTTTCTTGTTCTTGTGGTTTTACAGCAACATCACGTCTTGGTCTTTGCAGTGGAAGGTGTTTCTTGGTGAACAGTTGGAGACTTTCACTTTGGCGTTGACTTTTTAAATTCGTAACCGAGGTTGAGCGAAGGAGCAGGATTTTGTTTTGTTGTCGCTCCACATACAAAATGTTCTCTGTAAACTCAGGATGATTTCTTAGACAGACAAATGTTTCCTTTTTGGTTCTTCCTGTGGATCAATCCTGCCCATCACCTTCACCTTTCAGAAAGAGAAACAGTTTGAACAGAGGTTTGAGTCACACACATCTGATTCACTTTTGCATTTATGAAGTTCACAAACACATTTCTCGAGCTGTTTTCCGCTGTTAGGATCCAACAACCACACAATTACGACGTCTGAATCCCAAAACTAAAATATGACAATATCAGAACCAGAAACAAAAGTGATATGGTTCAAAAGACTTGAAAAGATCAACTTTGGGAAAACAAACAAGGAGGTTTGATGCTCACTTTTTTGTAAAATCCTTCCCAGTATGAATTGTGCGATGACCCGAAGTCTGAGATTCCAGTTTGGATGAGCTCTGAAATGTATTCGACCAAATAAACTTTTGTCCAGTCGACAAACTGAATAAACACCAACACCACCAAACCAAGTGGGAACCAGAGGAACATGAATGTACCAGACGTTTACCTGTTGGCGGTGATGTCTCTGTGACGTCGCGGCTCGGGTCCTAACTGGGGTTGGGTCTCTCTGCGGATCTCTGCATCTAAAAAAAAAAAAAAAAACCACAAAAACACAAAGACGCATGTTTAGTTCACTTTAAAAGCTCTTCTTCCTGTGAGTGTGAGTGATGATTCAGGCTCAGAGCAGGAGCAAGCAAAGTGTCGTGTCTGCGAGCGAGCACCAGAGGGCAGCACAGCGCTTCCACACACGCGACGCCCCGACCCCCAAAAACAACGAGAGAGACAAAACATGAAGCGCCAAAAGAAGCGAAAATATCAACGAAAATCAGGTGAATTTGATGAGGGGGAAAAAAAATATAAAACTAAAAATCTGAGAGTGATGGTTGGAGACAGGCAGAGAGGGACTGTACCTGTGACTGTTCTCTTAGGAAATCTGGGAGCTGAAATTCACCTTTAAAAACCTGAAAAACAAAATACTACGTTTAAATGTGGCGTTTAGAAAGAGCGAAAATGTCACTGATTTAGAATTTCATTGAGTAAAATCAAACAAAGAAGCCAGAAGTGTCACGAAACTGAAATAATAAAAACTCGATTCTCATGAAAAAGGAAAAGACTCGATCCCTCCTCCTCCTCGTGTGTCAGATTGTGTCAGATGCCCTCCCTCCCTCCCTCCCTCCGTCCGTCCCTCCCTCCTCGTGTCTTCGTGGGATTCCTGGATTCGTTCGGGGCAGTTCGCATTTCACTGACATCATCAATTCCAGAATTCCTGTTCGGGGTTACACTCGGAAATTCTGACTCCGCGCTTGGCTCCTCTCTCCCTCCATCTGTCCGTCCGTCCACACTCTCTCTCTCTCTCTTTCCTTCTCAATCCGTGTGTCGTTCGTTCGTTCGTTTTTCAATATAAAATCTAAAATAAGAAAATGAAAAAATAACAGTTTCCTTCATTATTTGTCTCTAAAACCAAAATGAAAAAAACAGATAATGATTTGTTTTTTCAGTTTGAGATTTTGTGTTTAAATGAAAAATGGAAAAAAAAAAACGGATAACGACCGTTTCCCGTTTACGTGATTTAAGTGACTGTGATGTGGGACTGAACCAGGACTGATCCAGACCGGGACCAGAGCGGGACTGAGACCGAGACCAGGCCAGGACCAGGCCGGGACTGAAACTGAGACCAGGCCGAGACCAGACTGGGACCAGACCGCGACTGAGACCGAGACTGAGACCAGACCGGGACCAGAGGGGGACTGGACTGAGACTGAGAACGGGACTGAAACTGAGACCAGACCATGACTGAGACCGGGACTGAGACCGAGACCAGACCGGGACCAGAGGGGGACTGAAACTGAGACCAGACCGAGACCAGACCGGAGGCTCAGAGTCCACGGTAGGGCCGGAGCTCGAAGCTGAGGCTCGGAGTCAAAGCTCGGAGTCCACCCTGGTCCCGGTCTGGTCCCAGTCTGGTTCCGGTCTCAGTCCTGGTTCAGTCCAACACCACAGTCACTTAAATCACGTAAACGGGAAACTGTCGTCATCTGTTTTTTCCATTTTTCATTTAAACACAAAATCTCAAACTGAAAAAACAAATCATTATCTGTTTTTTCATTTTGGTTTTGGAGACAAATAATGAAGAAAACTGTTGTTTTTCGTTTTCTTATTTTTCGTTTTATATTGAAAATGAATGAACGAACGACACACAGACTCTTCTCTCTCTCTCTGTGACTTGATTCTTTTTCTCATGTTCTTGTTCTTTTCGTTCGTTTACAGAACAGACGCCGGTTGATACTCGCCCGATGATTATGATCAATGCAGCCAGATCTCTATCTCTCCATCTCTCCACCTCTCCACCTCTCCATCTCTCCATCTCTCTCCATCTCTCCCTCTCTCCACCTCTCCACCTCTCATCTCTCCATCTCTCTCTATCCCTCCTCTCTCCATCTCTCCACCTCTCCACTATCTCTCCACCTCTCCACCTCTCCACCTCTCCACCTCTCATCTCTCCATCTCATCTCTCTCTCCCTCCTCTCTCCATCTCTCCACCTCTCTCCACCTCTCCACCTCTCCACCTCTCCACCTCTCCACCTCTCCACCTCTCCACCTCTCCACCTCTCCACCCTCTCCACCTCTCCATCTCTCCATCTCTCCATCTCTCCATCTCTCCACCTCTCCACCTCTCCATCTCTCCATCTCTCCATCTCTCTCTCCACCTCTCCACCTCTCCACCTCTCCACCTCTCCATCTCTCCATCTCTCTCTCTCATCCTCCCCCTCCTCTCTCATCCTCTCCACCTCACCTCTCCACTCCACTCCACTCCACCTCCACCCTCCACCCTCCCATCCACACACCACCTCTCTCCACCTCTCCACCTCTCCACACTCCATCTCACAAACCTCTCCACCTCTCTCACACTCCACTCTCATCTCATCTCCTCTCACAGTCTCACACACACACACAGAACTCCACCTCAAACACACTCAGAGACCACCCTCCACCAAACACACCTCTCACACACACACACACCACAGAAACACACACACACCACACCACACACCAGACACAACACACAACACACACAGAGACACACACACACACACTCACAACACACCACACACACAACAACAGACACCACACACACACACACACACACACAGACACACACACACACACACACACACACACAGACACACACACACACACACACAGACACACACAACACACACACACAGTCACACACACACACACACAGACACACACACACACACACAGACCACACACACACACACAGACACACACACACACACACAGACACACACACACACACACACACAGACACACACACACACACACACACACACACACACACACACACACACAGACACACACACACACACACACACACACACACAGACACACACACACACACACACACACACACACACACACACACAGACACACACACACACACACACACACACACACACACACACAGAACACACACACACACACACAGCACACACACACACACACACACACACACACACACACAGACACACACACACACACACACACACACACACACACACACACACAGACACACACACACACACACACACACACACAGACACACAGACACACACACACACACACACACACAGACACACACACACACACAGACACACACAGAAACACAGACACACACACACACACAGCACACACACACACACACACACACAGAGACACACACACACACACACACACACAGACACACACACACAGAAACACAGAGAAACACAGAAACACACACACAGACACACAGAGTGGATTATGGACCACAGGGAATCTCCTCCTCCTCTGACCATCTCTGCTCCATCTGCTCCTCTCCTCTGTTCCTTCTTTCCTCTGTTCCTTTCCTCAGTTCCTCTCCTCTGTTTCTCTGCTCCTCTCCTCTTCCTCTCCTCTGTTCCTTTCCTCCTCTGCTCGTCTCCTCTGGTCCTCCACCTCTGTTCCTCTCCTCTGCTCTTTTCCTTGGCTCCTCTCCTCTTATCCTCCTCCTCCTCCTCTCCTCTCCTCTGTTCCTCTGTGCCTGTCCTCTGTTCTTCCCCTCTGTTCCTCTGTTCCTCCTCCTCCGCTCCTCGTCCTCTAACCTTCTCCTCTGTTCCTCCTCTCCTCTCTTCCTCTCTTCTGTTCCTCTCCTCTGTTCCTTCTCTCCTGCGTTCCTCCTCCTCTGTTCTTCTCTTCCGTTCCTCAGCTTCTTTCCTCTGCTCCTCTATTCCTCTGTTCCTCTCCTCTGCTCTTTTCCTTGGCTCCTCTCCTCCTCTTCTCTCCTCCTCTGTTCCTCTCCTCCTCTGTTCCTCTGTTCTTCTCGACCCCTGGCCTCCATCCCTTGTACGTTCTGTCTGTGAGGCCCGAGCTTCACCGCAAAATTAAAACGCGACGTAAACTCGACCGTTCGACGAAAAGACGCCGCTCCGCTTCTCCTCCGCAAACATCAGAAGAATGTGAGCGACGGCGGGCGGAGGGACGGACGGAGCGAGGGATGACGGGCGGAGGGAGGGATGGAGGGGGAGGGTGATCTTGTGCGCGGGAGCCGAGCGAAAAGGCTCTGAGCGTTTCCATGTGTTCTCCATCAGACGGAGCTTAGCGATTTGGGGCCAGGTGGGTTAAACGGCAGCAGCGGCTTCGGGAGCTCAACCCCTCGACTCAGCGGCGATAAACACCAGAGCCAGCGCGATCCTGTGTCCTTGGGCAAGACACTTTAACCACACGGTCCAGTTTCATCCTGCACCACACACACAGTCCCACACGAATACGACGGGAACACACTTTCTCTCCTTATCTCTCTCCTTGTCCAGAGGCGGAGATACAATTAGGCAACACTGGGCAGTCGCTTAGGGGCCCCCCAAACCTGGAGGGGCCCCCCGACTAATTTCCCTCAGTGCCGCTAATGATCGGGGCCTCAGAGCAATTTGATTTTCTCTCAATATGACAAAACATTAAATAAGAGTAGTTTTACTTTTAAACAAGAAAAGCTCCATCAAAATAAAATCTGATTGTCAAATTATTTTAACTGTCAAAGCATTCACTCTTTCACGTTAAAATGGATGAGTCACCTTAACCGTGATTTGAACAGAATCATAACAGAGTCATATGTAATGGATGTAATCAAAAATGTAACTGTACTAACAAAAAAACAAAACTACTTCCACATTTGGTTTTCTAGTCGGCGACCGAACTAAAAAGACAAGTTTCCAATCAACCCTAATTCAGAAAGAGATGTGTGTGTCTCAAGAACAATGAGCAAAAACAGACAATAAATACTAAAAAACTGAATTATTAGTTACGTTTACACTTTATCAACGTATCAAACAATTTGCGTCCAGACACGTCGTTTCTGTGTCCTCAGGCCTTCTTCATCCACACAGCTTTGAGCACATTTGTTTACGTTTTACAGAAACTAAACTTAAAACCACATGACTCATTTGCATAAACTAAGTGTTGATAAAAACAGCTCTTTCCTCGTGCCCTGATGTGGTTCAGTTTGTGTCGGACTAAAGGACACAGTGACTCAGTGGAATATGAGTGTTCTTTCTGTGACAGAGGGGTGTTCTGCTGATGGTGAGTCTGTTCTGTGTTTCTGTCGTGTTGGAGATGGTTCATGTGAAACTTTTCAGAGATTATACGTCTGCAGGTCGTACACACAGACGTACAGAACTACACTTCGCTCTTTAACACGAAAACGACTGAAACGATAGAAAGTCGCAGCAGCCGATTTCGAGCTGAGGAAGATGGTGAGAGTGAAAACAGTGTTTTTGTGGACTGTGTACTAGTAAGTTGTTGTAGTTCCGCTGTCTCCCGTTTGTCTCTGGTTTGTTTAAACTGTTTCCCAGAATATCGTCACATGATCAATGTCACGAACCCAGAGAATCAGGAAGGAGCGAGTCACAGTGACGTGGTTCAATAA